GAAAGCATGTCTTGTCAACCATTATCTCCCTGCACCCCTTATCTCTGAGTTCCAGATAATTTCCTCATCCCCACTTGTACAGTGTGTATTTGATTGATGTATGTATGATTTCCTTTATATTAAAGAAAATGTTTAAAAACTTGAAAGTGGTTATTGAAAGACTAAGTCTTAGGGTGTGGGGATGGTGACTTAAGGAATTGGAAAAAAGTCAGGGACCCAGTTAATACAGTGAGGCTAAGCTGTTGAATGATGAGGAAAAATCAAAGATAGTATTACTGTCCCCATCCCAATCATGATCATTAAATCATCCACAACTACCATCTTGTTGTAAAATGAGAAAATTCATATGGTAAAATACTTTTGAGAAGCTAAGGGGAGTCCCCGTTTCCCCAGCTTCTATGTTCAAATATGTCTCAGAATTCCTCACCTCAAATACAACCAAAGCCCTGGTCAGTGCCCCAACTTGCCAGAACAGTGAGGAAACTCTTTGACTCCCCACTTCGCTCCTTACAGAAGTAGGCCTGAATAGAGGAAGTCCTCTGTCATCTTCCATTCCTACATTCAACCAAAGCCCCAGATATTCCCCCAGCAACTCTGCTGAAAGAGTTAAGCTTCCTTTCTACTGTTCCCACTATTCCCACCCCCAAAAGAAGCAGAGTGGAGTCACCAGTTCCATTACTTCCAGCCACCAACCAGGACCACAAGGACCCCATTCTGTTCCTACCCTGGACCCTGACCAAAGTCCCTACTCTTTTTTGGTATCATGTTAAATAAGAGCAGTGAGAATTTTCTTTGATTCTTCCCAGCCCCTGGCCTCAGCAGAGGGGAGTCACTTGACCCCCACTTTTTGGGCCAACCCCCTTCTAGCCCATTCCCAAATGGAAAAGCAAGTCGCAAAGTTTCAAAAATTCACAGAATCTCAAAGCTGGAAAGGACTACAAAGTCTATACAGTCAAGATTCAGTCTTTACATGAATCCCATCTGGATCAACAGGTAATCATTTAGCTTTGACTTCCAGCGAGAGGAAACCCACTATCTCCTGAGGCAGCCAATTCCATTTTGGGATACCTCTAAATTTTAAGTTTTTCCCTTGCTTCCAACCCAAACTTACTGCTTTGTTGTTTCCACCAGTTGTTGCCATCTCTATGCTTGAAAGTCAGGAAAAATAAGTCTATTATCCTTATTCCTTATGACCACCCTTCAGATACTTGAAGACAACTACTATGTCCTATCTAAGTTTTCTCCTTTCTAGTCTAAATATCCCCATTCCTCCAACTAATGCTCACATGATATAATCTCAAGGGCTTTCACTACCCTGGTTGCCCTCCTCTGGACATTCTCCAGCTCCATGTCTTTTTAAATTAGGGCCACTCATTGGGACAATTTGAGGGTCATTTCTGAGTTCTACAGGTTTTAAAATGAAGAAACTCAACCATTTTCCCCTACCACTTTCAATCATACATTTGGTTTATGATTGTTTATGGATTGTCCCTTCATTCTCTGTCTTCCCTTGTCAGACGTGTAGAATATTGGCTCAATTCTGGGAGCCATAGTTTAAGAATCAATCAAACAAACAAATATTTATTAAGCATCTACTATGTGTCAGGCACTATGTTAAGCTCTGGGGATACAAAAAGAGGCAAAAGACAGTCCCCCCCACCCTCAAGGATTTAAAATCTAAAGAAAAACATTGATAAATTGAAGAGTGTCCAGAAAAAGGCAATAAGGATGGTGAAGGATCTTGAAGCAGTTGGGTGGTATAGTGGATGCAGTAACATAGTTCTGAACTTAAAGTCACAAAGACTTGAGTTTGAATCTTACCTTAGGCACTTAATAGCTGTGTGCCTCTGGGCAAGTCTCTTTCTCATCTATAAAATGGAGATAATTATAGTACCTCTGTCACAAGGCTGTTGTAAGGATCAAATCAATTAACATAGACTTTGCAAACTTTAAAGTATTATATAAATATTGCTTGTAGCTATTATTGTAATTATCAGGTGACCCAACTGAGAACATAGAAGGTTTTGGTGGGGAAGAACATTTATGAGAGCTCCCTTTAAATGGTTGAAGGGCCATCAAGTGAAGGAGGGATTGGGCTCGTTTGGCCCTAGAATTCAGAACTAGAAACCGTAGGTAGAAGCGGAAAAGAAGCACATTTAGTCTTGACATCAGGAAAAGTTTCCTAAAACAGTTGTCTAAACGGTGGTCAGTTCCCCCTTCTATCTCATCCTTACTAGTGGCCTTTCCCATCCTGTTCCTTTGGTGCCTACCAAGAATGAGAAGGAAAACACTGTGTGCGAGAGTGGAAAGGGTGTTGGACCTGGATTTACCTCCCACCCTCTGCCACTTACTACCCATGTAGCCTTGGGCAAGTCACTTAACCTCTGTCAGCCCAGTTTCTTCTTCTGTAAAATGGGAACAATGATACCTGGAGTTCTTACCTCACAGACTTGTTAGGGTGTTCAAATGAGATGTAGTTCAGGAGGTTTCATTTACGCAAAGCCTTTTGCAAAACTCAAAGCACTATAGAATGATTATTTTCAGCTCTTTTCTTGGGTATTGTCTCCTGTCTTTGTTGCTATTCTACTTTAAAGCACCAAGTTCTTCCATCCTCCAACTACTTATTTTGCTAAATATTTTCCAATGACATTTTAATCTGGTTCAGGCAGTACTTGGGAGGGTTGTAGGTTGCATGCCGTGGGCCATGAGGGTGGGTTGGGGTGGGGGAGGGCAGCCGTGTTTGACAGCTATACTTTGCTCTCTAGGACAGAATTTTGACATACTTAAGTGTTAGATGTGTTACGTCAATGGTACTAGTAGAAACACAAACAGAGCACACTCTTTTCGGGACACAGCAAAAATCCCCCATACTTTCTTAAAGCAAGGTCTTCCAGCCTCCAGCCAGATCTATCTGTGTTTGAGTAAGGAGGATGAAATGTTGCAAGGGGAGAAGGGAAGAAGAGATCTGCACATCTCCAAATGTTAGGCTCTTGGAAAAACATTACAGATGAACAGTGATTTGGATCCAGAATCGAAGATGGCATTTGAAAAACTGCCATGCTTTCAACAATCCCTAGCAACTTCCTGCAACAAAACTTCCCCCCTTTAACTGCATTCTTTCAAACATTCTATATGCCTGTAAAAAAAGGACTATCACAGTCTTAGAAAAATCAAATTTGTGGGTGATCCACAGGAGAAGGGAAAGGTATATGTTGGGCATGAATAAGCAGTGGCATATTACCAGGGATGATTTGTATGCAGGGAGCAGTATAAAAGATGTAAGCAGAATTGATCAGTGGAGTTTTCCAATCAACTTGATGAGCTTACTCAGCAGTCAGCCTATATTTAGGACTTTTGAAAGAGCCTCTTTCTGTTGTTTCAGAGTATGGATGTGCTCACTGATTCTTATGAAGAAGACAAAAATAATTACTTATTAGAATTAGAGGTGTATTGGCCGCTTCCCAAGCTACCCTTTGGTGTCTCTGTGGAACAGGTTTCAATGACTGGAGCTGACCCTCAGATAATTTGTTTGGCTAGGAGTCTTGAGAATGGATTCATCAAGCATTTAATCAACCAGCATTTATTAAGCTCCTACGGTGCTAGGCCCTGAGGACACAAAGACAAAAATGAAACATTCCTTGTTCTCAAGGAGCTTTGTTCTATCAGAGAAGACAGTGTGTACATGTGTTAAGTATGTGCAAAATAAATACATGGTAATTTTTTTTTTTAGAATGGAGGGCTCAAATAGTTAGAATTAGGAAAGGCCTCACGTAGAAGATAAAATTTAAACTGAGTTTTGAAGGAAACCAGGAATTCTAAAAGGAGGAGTTGAAGAGGGAGATACATACACACACACACACACACACACACAGAGATATCCAAATGCATATGGATATATATGTATGTGTGGGTATATATGTATATGTATATGTGTGGGTAGATATGTATACACACACACACACACACACATATGTGTGTATGTATTTTGTTCCCCCCCCCAGATATAGATGGAGCTCCATGTGTGAAGAACAGCAAGGCCATTCTGGCTACACTACAGAGTGAAGCAAAGGTAGGTGGGTCAGGCTGTGAAACATTTATATTAAAAGGCAGGCAAAAGAGTTTATATTTGATCCCAAAGTCAATGAGGGGAGGAGGAAAAGGCATTTGCCAAATGCCTACTGTGTGCTAGGCATAGGGCTAAGTACTTTACAACAACCCTGGGAGGTAGATACTATTATTATTCCCATTTCACAGTTGAGGAAACTGAGGCAGACAGAGGTTTAATGACTTCCTCTGAGTCACACAGTAAGTAACTGAGGCTAGATTTGAACTCAGGTCTTCCTGACTCCAGGCCCAGCAATCTAGCCACTGTGCTGCCTCACGGCCTCTATGTAGAGAATCATACATGATCAACAGGGGATTAACTGGGTGAGAGCTGAGCTTTAGAAAGCTCGCTTAACACATCTAGCCAAGATGGTTTCTTGCATGGAGGTAAGCAACCCAGTTCTCAAATCCCTATTCTAACAGTAACTTTAAAATAATACTAGATGGAATAAGGATCAGTAAATCCAAGGTGCAGCTATAGTGACTTCTTTTCACCTTGTTCATTGTTTAGTCATGTTTGATTCTTTGTGACACCACACACATATCACACCAATGCTATCCTTGGGTTTTTCTTGACAAATGATACTGGAATGGTTTACTATTTCCTTCTCCAATAGATTAAAGTAAACGGAGATTAAGTGACTTGCCCAGGGTCACACAGCTAGTAGGTGTCCGAGGCCTCATTTGAATTCGGGTCTTCCTGACTCCAGATCCAGATCTCTATCCACTCAGTCATCTAGCTACCCTTGAACTCCACAAACCATCAGCCAGAAGCCTGCAGGCTTCAGGAAAGGGGAACTTCCAGAAAAGTCAGTACATACAATAGCCTCCCAGCATGTGAGAGACCATCT